GCTGCCGTCAGCCACAAAACAACCACTAAGAAACCAAGAGACTCCTCAGTGACATCTTAATGTTAATACTAAATGAGATTACAAACTGCATATTAAATCGGCCAATTTTCCAATATGCCGCATCTGATGATCTCTGAGAGTTCTATGTACAAAGGAATCTGTGTACATATTTCGGGGACATCTCCACATGTTGCAATCCCTGAATCTGCTAATCAAGGCAGGCTTATGGGATATGCTCATGTCCAGGGAAGCTCCCATTCTGATGCATAACCTCCAGAAATATCCGTCTCTCACTGACTAGGCCACAAATGGTAGCATGGGCTCATTTGGTGGACCAACATGTTTTAGAATTCCAGACTAATCAGAATACCAGCCTTGGGATCATAGCCATTCCTTTTGGGAAAAATGGGTCTTACCTTTTTAGCTTCTGGTGCAGTTACAGTTCAAAAGACAAATGTTTCCATAAGGGTCAGTGAATGAACAGACAGCCTGTAGGTGGCGATTTATCTGCCTCTCTTCATGCCAGTTTAATTAGGCCCCGAGAGACCAATCAGATCAATGAAAGAGAGTTTATTACGCATGTAATTTAGCAACCATCTTCATTGCCTGGGAAAGCACCCAACAGTACACTCATTTAACTGAAGCTGAGTCACTTTTAACAGGTGCTTTTAATGGACGTGAGCAAGCATTGTTTACTAATGCCAAAGTTGTAAATTTTTATTGGTTCATAGCAGAAAATGCATGGAGGGCTATCTAATCCTAATCGATAAGGAATTTCCTTTCTGTAGGACAGCTATAATTGATTATTCCTCAATGGCAGATTGCAGACTCCCTGAGCAATGAGGCTTGACGTGATTTACTGTTTAATATTAACTGCCACACAGTAACAAATACAGGAAAAGGGGCACAATAGATTAGCTTCCTGACTTATTCCTGAATACGTTAACCAGGCTGTGGCCAGGATATTTCTTATCCTCTCATTTAACACACATAAATGACCCCATCCTACACAACACCCTCCAGAAAAGACCAGCTTAAACAAGCATGAATTCTAATGGTGAACCAGCAAAAAATGCTGGTTAACCAGGCCGATTTTTCTGATTAAGCTCGTTTATGGGAGGTGGAGCTGGTTAAAGGACTAGTTCCAAACCGCTCTGAGCATCCTGTGCTCTCTAGCCAATAGTTGGGTGGAATGCTATATTAATCACATGAAGGTGAATGCGGTATGCCATCAGAGGGATATGCTGATCTCTGTAGACGAAGCAAGGGGTGTATCTCTCAGCTGTCAGGCTGTACGCTGCTAACAGAGGGAGCCCAGATGATGCAGCCACTTTACAAGCCCTAACACACTTAACTGCACTGGTCCTCCCACACGACCTGGAGAGGTAGCCAATCAGTCAGCCTCTCCTGATGGCCACAAACTCAAACCTGCAGAAGACACTGGCAGCAACTCATATGTACTGTATATAGAAAGACTTGCCGTTACAACCTGTAGAGTTTACAATACAGAGGTTTATGTGGTGCATTCTGGTAAGTGCAGTCCAATTATGTGCCTACACATCTGTAGCCTTTTGAAGTGCAATGTGGTTTATTAATGAAAGTTTTAATTATATAGATTAGTATTCTGACGCTTTTGTTTCAGCCGAATGGATTTTTATGGCGCTGTTTGGATTTTTCTGAGCTGGAGGGTGTCTGGTTGTGTTCAAAGGCACTCTCTGCATGCTCAGTTCCTGCGGTTTCCAGTTTTAGACACGAGACAACACTGTCAGACCGAATTTGTCCTAACAATGCCCGATGAGAGAGGAAAGAGGTGCAAACAGGGATTTGATGAAGCTGCCGTCAGCCACAAAACAACCACTAAGAAACCAAGAGACTCCTCAGTGACATCTTAATGTTAATACTAAATGAGATTACAAACTGCATATTAAATCGGCCAATTTTCCAATATGCCGCATCTGATGATCTCTGAGAGTTCTATGTACAAAGGAATCTGTGTACATATTTCGGGGACATCTCCACATGTTGCAATCCCTGAATCTGCTAATCAAGGCAGGCTTATGGGATATGCTCATGTCCAGGGAAGCTCCCATTCTGATGCATAACCTCCAGAAATATCCGTCTCTCACTGACTAGGCCACAAATGGTAGCATGGGCTCATTTGGTGGACCAACATGTTTTAGAATTCCAGACTAATCAGAATACCAGCCTTGGGATCATAGCCATTCCTTTTGGGAAAAATGGGTCTTACCTTTTTAGCTTCTGGTGCAGTTACAGTTCAAAAGACAAATGTTTCCATAAGGGTCAGTGAATGAACAGACAGCCTGTAGGTGGCGATTTATCTGCCTCTCTTCATGCCAGTTTAATTAGGCCCCGAGAGACCAATCAGATCAATGAAAGAGAGTTTATTACGCATGTAATTTAGCAACCATCTTCATTGCCTGGGAAAGCACCCAACAGTACACTCATTTAACTGAAGCTGAGTCACTTTTAACAGGTGCTTTTAATGGACGTGAGCAAGCATTGTTTACTAATGCCAAAGTTGTAAATTTTTATTGGTTCATAGCAGAAAATGCATGGAGGGCTATCTAATCCTAATCGATAAGGAATTTCCTTTCTGTAGGACAGCTATAATTGATTATTCCTCAATGGCAGATTGCAGACTCCCTGAGCAATGAGGCTTGACGTGATTTACTGTTTAATATTAACTGCCACACAGTAACAAATACAGGAAAAGGGGCACAATAGATTAGCTTCCTGACTTATTCCTGAATACGTTAACCAGGCTGTGGCCAGGATATTTCTTATCCTCTCATTTAACACACATAAATGACCCCATCCTACACAACACCCTCCAGAAAAGACCAGCTTAAACAAGCATGAATTCTAATGGTGAACCAGCAAAAAATGCTGGTTAACCAGGCCGATTTTTCTGATTAAGCTCGTTTATGGGAGGTGGAGCTGGTTAAAGGACTAGTTCCAAACCGCTATGATTTTTTTTTAATTCTGTGGAAGACACAAAAAAATATTTGACCAAACTTTCAACTGTTTTTGTCCATTCAGATCAATTCAATTGGGTCAATTGGATCACTTTGTATACATGTGTCCCACCAATTTTGTATATATGCACCCCACCAACAATGTTAGGTAACACTTTATTTTAGGGCCTCTTAACTAGTTGCTTATTAGCATGCATATTACTAGAATTTTAGCCATTTATTAGTAGTAATTAAGCACATATTAATGCCTTATTCTACATGACCTTATTCTACATCCCTAATCCTACCCGATACCTAAACTTAACCACTACCTTACTAACTATTAATAAGCAGCAAATTAGGAATTTATTGAGGGAAAAGTCGTAGTTAATAGTGAATAAGTGTTCCCTATTCTAGAGTGTTACCCAATGTTACCAACATGTCAGCATATTGACTTTCACTGCATGGACAAAGAAAAAAAAATCATTCTTGGCTGAACTATTCCTATAATCTATTTTAGAACCCTGTATACCAGCATCCTATCCATCAACAAAACTTGCTGTTTTTGCACAATACCTGTTCCTATCAATCAAATACTGGCAAATACCTCAGCAATCACAGAGAAGTCTCCCGCCAATCTGCAACGACGTGCTGATGTTTTGGTTGTTAAGCTTGGCTGTGATACAGTGTGTGTATGTCAAATTCCTCCATAACCTCAACTTCCCGTAAACAGTATCTCATAAACAGACACACTTCCTCAGTGTAAAACCTCTACATACGTGTGCACACTCATGCTGGCAGCAGGTGCAAGATCAATGGGCACTGAATGGAACAATGAAACCTCCTACGTCTCCCCCAAAACACTCACACACACACACACACACACACACACACACACACACCACAGGTAGCCTTGAACGTAAGCTTTTACTGGGGTCTTTGTGCTCTTCCAATCTGACAAGCATACCTACATGGGAGTTGTTAGGAGAAGCCCACAGCACCTATCCCAGTATTCTCTGCTGTACTCATTGACATGCAGAGAGCTATAGCCCAGGACTCATCCGGGCCATTCTATTGCAGAAAAGACCTGTGGGGCCACTAAAGCCTTTACTCTAGTACAGCTTAGCAAGAGTTTAATCACTGCAATGTGCTACAGTAGAAACATAACATAAGCATATAAGATCTTACCTACACAGACGACAACAAAGAATCTTTATTTTGCAGAATCATCAAAAACATCATGATTTGGCAGACCAGACCAGAAGGAACAAAATAATAATGTGTTTTCTTGATTTTCTGACAGGTGCAATTTTATGAGACTGTTTTTTTCTAAATGACACAGTGACGTGCTGTTTATAGTAAATATGCTATAAAAATAACTATATAATACTGTTGTGACATAAATAAACAAATAAATTAATAAATAAATAAATGAAATTTTATTTGCATGAAATCTGGACACTTGTTTCCTTCACTATTAGTTTTTAGCTATTTAATTATTTTAATTTATACGTAGACAATTTTGTTTACAGCATTTTTGCTTTTTGATCAAAATATTTATATCTGTAAGAATGATTTATAGCTGGTAAATGTTTACAAAAAAACAGGACTCGTAGATGTGGTATAAAGTTAATATGTCAGTGAAAAAACAGTAAAATATAGAAAAGAAACAATAATGGAGAGAATGTCACGGAAACGGGTGTGTGGAGGCAGGCAGGACGACGAGGACGACAAGGATTCCAATAATGACATTTATTGTAGACACAACAAGGCAGGTTCAGGTAGGTGAGACACACACTCGGGGTAACATTAACCGAAACCAATGCTCAGACAGACAGGAACTAATATGGGGTGAATAATTAGAGGCAGACAGGTGAGCACAATGATGGTTATTAACTAATGATTAGACGGGCTAAACCAACACAAAGGGAAGAAACCACAACAAACAGTCCACAGGGGCGTTACAGAGAACAGGCATCATGCTGTTAATGTACATTATAACTAAAGAAGAAAAAAGACACTTACCATTTGAGAGTGACTCTTGGGGCAGCTGTTGATATCTTCTACCTTCTCATTAGCTGCAACAAAGATATTGCTGGGTTAAACCTCTGCAGTACCACAACCTCTGGCCTTTCCATCCACAGGTTACTGTCATGAGGCAAGAAAGTTTGCCTTTGCAGTTTGTGAGAGCTTGTGATTGAATGAGCATGTGTATGTTTGCAGTGTGGGAGAAAACGCTGAGAAAATGAACGGCTGTTAATTCATCAGCTGTTGGTTGCGAGTTTGTGACATAAGATCTGCCATTGTATGCTAGCGGTTCATAATAAAGTTTCAGGACAGCCCATAGGAGGGAAAAATGGGATGGGGGAAAGAAAAAAGGAAAAATAAAAAAGACAGACTGACACACATGCACACAACGCACACCACTCTGGGCTCACTAAAGTGAACACATGGGAGACACATGCTTTAATAGTGCTGAAATAGCATTCAATTCTCATGTTGCTGATTTTCTACGGCTTCTAATCCAGTTTAACGTGAGCAGAATAACTTAAAGCTGAATCGCAGTAAGTAGTTATGTTTTACACAAATAATTTTATCACTCAAATGAGCTGTGAAGATTTATTAGCCTGCACTGTGTGTATATGTGTGTGTGTGTGTGTGTGTGTGTGTGCGCTTGTATCCTTACCTATTATCTGGATGATTTCTGCCAGCAGAACTCCATCAGGTATGTCCTGAGTCAGGTCCTTAATAAGCCTCGGACAGCCGGACTTGGCCAAATAATGGTTCGCCCAATCAGTGTAGATCTATAGGGAATATGAGGGGAAAATTCTGATGAGGAACAGAAGATGGATGAACAACAATGGAAAAAAGCATCTAAACAGACAATATAGATTAATGAAAACTTGTCAAAGAGGACCTGAGCAGATAAAATGCGTCTGTGGTTTGATTGACAGAAGATTGAGTCATGTTGACCAGAACCACTTAGGAAAACAAAAACTATTAGAGTAAGAGAAACAGAAAAACATAGCAGCCGGCTTGAGTATAAGGGCAATTTAATCAAAACTATCAATGAGGCCTTAGCATTTGTAATGGATTACCTGGATTTTCTACTGATTTTCTTACATTACATTGTGACACCACTGATCCATTTAATCAGATATGGATTACAAGGATAGCACCTACTTACAACAAATTGACTTTTCCAAAGGCTAATTCCTCTCTAAAGGATGTTGTCATTGCACATTGAGCTTTTAAACCACTGTTAAAGTCTTTTAAATTAAGTCCTTGTGCAGCAAGTTTTTATAAAACAGTTTCAGAGCAGTACCAGAAGTGCAACAGCAAAAATGTTGAAACAGCATGCAGGGAACACTAAATTATGAAAGTCCTTATTTATTGCTTAATATACCGGGTCTGTATGAACAAATGCAACCCCCTGGTGACTCAGTAATATGTCTAAAAGATTCCTTGAATAGGTGTTCCTCAGGGGTCTGTTCTAGGGCCCCTTAAAAACTCATGTCACAAATCTTAGAGCTCTGCTCTTTCATTGTGATCTTAGGATTAGATCTCATTGCACACTAGGCAAACGGTTTTCCATTTCCCACTTAAGCGAGAGCACCCCAGTGGCAAGGGACACTCTCTGAGCTCACATTCTCTCACTAACAGAATTGCCTGTATGGGGCTTTTGTCTGTAATTTTTCAAATCGTGTGAATTATACAAAGACTATTGGGGGGCTCAACTTTTTCAGCTCATCCAGACAGCATGTATTTTACTTTTTATGTTTTGTCAAAGTACCAGCCGATTTTGATCCTAACAGAAAATGGTCAACTATCCTACTGTTGCTATAGCCTTCAAAACTTTTGTTCTGGCTTCCTTTAGATAGTTTCAGCCTTAATTAGGGTGAAGAGACCTCCCCAAACCCCCATAATCTGCACCCTGCATAATGATAAAGTTATGAATGACGTACTAAAATGTATTTAAAGTGGTAAATTTCATTTACACCCACGAACCCAGTAAAATTTCAAAGGATTTTTCCTTTACATAGCTAGTTTTATTTTAGACCATATTATAATGCCTCATAAAATTTAAAAAAATATCAGCCATACTCTCTCACCACCTCAAACACAGTGACCAATTAAACACATTTATGCCTTCGCCAGGCAAAAAAAAGCATTCCACTCGAAGATGCCACATTTAAAAGGTTTCGTCTGTTGTGGTTTCAGCATATGATGAGGAGTCGTTAACAAGAACAGGGTGATGAAGAGCTCTTTAGTCATCCTCCCACTTAAACTCAACACAATACAAAAGAGAGCCAATAAAGGCCTCTGCTCACCACTCCAAACCACAGTCACCTCCGAGAGTTGAGTAAACAAACAGTTACACTACCACACATGCCAACACCTCCAGTCACGGCAGAGAAAACAGCAAAGAATTTACATATTTTCACAGCATCTAGAAAACAAGGTGAATTCAGCTCTGGTTTGGCTATGGTATTGATGTTTTGGTTCATCCTGCGGCCCAGAATGTAGAAAGAATTTGTATTTCTGTGGCTTAACGTGAGTTAGTGAGGTAAACTGATGCAGTGGTTGAAAGGTCAGAAAAGGAAGTGGAGTATAAGACAGCGATTCTCTGCTGCACAACCCTGTTCCCCTTTTCCCTGCCTGACAGAGGGCTGAGAGAATTAGGGGTGCCGCAGTGCCACAGTTGTTCATGCGCTCGACGGGCAGAAAATGTCCATCTGGACCTTTGAAAGGAAGGAAAGAGAAATCACTCTGTCTTCCTCTTATTGCCTCCAGCGCCCAGAGATCAACAAAGAAAGCAAGTGAGACATGGGAAGAGAAAGCAAGACGAGAGAATGAAATGACAGAGAGAGAGAGAGAGAGAGAGAGAGAGAGAGAGAGAGAGAGAGAGCAAAGAACAAGAGGAAAATCAAGAGACTAGTGCACACATTTCAAAGTGTTAACCCAGTAGCAGCTATCTTGTTCATGATTTCCTATTTGCATATTAATGGTTAATAACATCAACTGGACAGATACAGCACAAAGTGAGAAAACAAACTGGAGAAAGCTAGTAGCTAATCACCTGGGCCATACATGCCATGTGACTAATGATCACTCTAGAGCTGTAGCAAAATGACAGTGCTGATGGCACTAAAAGAAAGAAAGGAAAAATGTCTATTTCATGCTATTTCAAGTCAGACAGCTACTTTTGAATGACTGTCAATGGAAATGCTTTTTCGCATAGTTAGGGTAGGCTATCTACCAGCATGGGTCAAACTGGACCATGATATCCACCAGAAACGTTGACCCTTTTTTGGCTGTTCACTGTACAATAGTGTCAATCCCCTCAGACGGCGAAACAAAAAAGTTTCTGTTAACATAAAAAGTTTATTAATAATTGCAAAACTTTTTGATTAGTAATGTCCTACAATTCTATGTTTCACATGGTAGCACTTTAGTATATGGACCAATTCTCACTATTAACTAGTTGCTTATTAGCATTCCTATTATTAACGTATTGGCTGTTTATTACTTATAAAGCACATATTCTGCATGACCATATTCTACATCCCCAATCCTACCCAATACCTAAACTTGACAAATACCTTTTTAACTATTAATAAACAGCAAATTAGGAGTTTATTGAGGCAAAAGTCATAGTTAATGGTTTGTTAATAGCGAGAACTGGACCTTAAAATAAAGTGTGACCTTTCACACTATATACTCTACCTTTGGGACTATAAAAGTTAAGCTTTATAAACTAGGGTTAAAAATGGCGCTAAGGTCTGTCAAAATTACATATGTGAAATGCTGCTTAAAAGCTGCCTTATTTCTGTGCTGCCTGTTTTCAAACATGTTTCCCAATCACTCTCACATTGGCCAGATAAATAACCAGTTCCCAAATGCTATTGGTTGAGCTAATGGTGCCGTGCAGGGCCGGTTGGGATGCTAAACAAAGCAATGTTTTGAAAACACCACAGAGCCAAAGCGTTTTCACTTTTCAGGGAAAATTGGTTCACTAAAAGTTGTCTCTGCATATTAAGCTAGGATAAGAGAAGGTATTTAACGTCAGAAAAATTACATGCTTCAGCTTTTACTTGGGGTTTAAAAGATAAGCAAAAAAAATGAAAATTAAAAATAAAAAGCTGACAGGTAGAGGAAGAGGAGATTCTCATTAAAATAGGGCTAAAGGAGTATCTCTGCAGTGGATACAGCCGAAATCTCCCTGAGAGAACCATTACCACAGTCATTTACTTTCTTAGAAACACATTGGTTTATCTGAAAACCCCCATTAACATTTTATCAGCCTAGGCAGCCAACAGTATACAGAAGAGAAGCTCTGTTGCAAGCAAGCTGGCATCTAGAATGCACATGATAACCAGCAGCACACTGTAAATGCTTTAATCAATGCTGCCATTAACACTCAGGCACGAGGGAGGGTGAAACGGGCCGGTCTGCAGCTGTAAATAAGCGACTGTTATGGCAGAAGGAAACTGGTTGTAAAGCAGTCTTTCAATCCAATAGTTTCACAGAGGGAAGTACACCGAGCCAAGGTTAAACAGTTTCCCGTCCCGTTATTTTAGGGGATGAACTTGCTGGTGTTTCCCACTGTGAGACCGGCAGAAGCTCACATGAACACAAACACATCCCAAAGTCAGTCCCGATGCTCCTTAGTCCCCAGATGTGTGCTGAATCCCATCTAAACAGCATTAATCTAATGCCCTAGCGCCCCGTGACTTCACTCACATTTATTTATCATGCGTCACTGTTTCTTTTCCTGCGACCCATTATTTTCGATTCATCCCAACAGCTCTGACACTGTGGTTTTGTCTCTATTAATGAGCAAGCGCTTGTTTGGCTGATGCATCACTTCACTGTAAAACCCAACTATGCCACCCTCAGCGTTCACACAGCATTAAACGGACACACGCACACACTCATACGGCCGTCATTCATGAGCGCTGCCTCCTCCCCTCGCAAGCAGGTTGCCAACGCACACATACATGCATCCAGACACACACATCCATCAAACAAAAACACAAATCCCCTGGCTTTGTCCCTGACTCTAAGAAGCAGTTAACAGTCCCTGCTGTTTCAGCCTGCTAGAGTTAAGCTCAAGTGATGTGTGTGTACCTCTTAAGAGTATCTGAGCCCAGGTTGTCCCCATCCTTAGCGTCCCGCTGATAAACGGCAGCGTTCGGCTCTCTCTACAGTCTGCTCTCTATGCAGTGCCTATAACTGCGCAGGTACTGGAAGCCTGCATTTACAATAGTCAGGCAATAGGGGGAGTCAGCTGCTGAGAAAATCTGTCATGAATCAGCCAGAAGGGTCTGTGAGTTCATCGCCTTGTGGACTGATCCAAAGACCGTATTTGGGGTTTATTTGAATGCTTTTAGATGAAGTTTAGATTACAAATCCCAGGACTGGGCGGAGAAGGGATGGAATTGTGTTGTTAATAAAAAACGAGGCGCTTCATAAGCATATGGAATATTTACCAGCCCTGAAACACTTGAGGGCTGTTGTGTAATGCTGTAAATTGAGTTGAGCACTGTACGGGACTGTAAAACATTCTATATCTTACTAGAGGAATTTATGATAATTGAAAACAATATCAAGGCAAAAGGAAAGAGTTAAATAAAGCAGGAAGTTTAAGTCGGTTTGCTCTTACAAATTTACTTCACAAAGTTCCTTCAGAACTCATTCTAAAATGCTGATTTGGTGCTCAGGAAACATTTTGTAACTTTAAAAATGTCTTTACTATCACTTCTGATCAATTTCTTGCATCCTTAATAAAAGTATTAATTTA